CAATAAACAGATGCTGATGGCTGAATAGCTTAAGTGTAACTTGAGCATTCAATCAATCTGAAAAGCAATTTATTGTGAGTATATTTCAAAGTGGTGGAAGTTATTGCTATGATACATCTAATCATAATGGCAGTGGGGAAAAATATATCCTCTCTTAAGAGCTGTGAAAAAAACCTGTCTCTCAGTGATCACTTTGTTGGGTTCCCTGTGGAGTTCAGTCATCTATGGCTGTGCTGAATAGCTGAGTGAGGCTAAATCAGAGACCAATTTATTTAAAAAGATGCCTTGGGACAAGCTTAGGCCTAATGTGGGTGCAGGAAGGGATAGGACAAATTCTAGATGTTTTGCTACCAGAATACAGGTGCTGCTGCCTCCCATTCTCCCTGCTGAACTGCTTGGAAGCAAATGCTCCTCACTGCCATGCACCTTCTGTGGTGCTAACAGGCATTGCCAGCTCTGTCTCCTGAGGAAACGGCATGTAGGAAACGAAGTGGACTTGTTGGATCTAATGCTCCATTTTGCCTATAGCAAATATAGTTTGAAATGTTAGTAAATCTAAACCCATTTTGGTGGCAGCCTGGATGTGAGGTTCCTGTCATTCATGGGAAAATCTGCAGATGGACAGTGGAGAAAATCTGTTGGTATCAGGGGTGATAGGAGGGGAGAAGTCAGCCTGCAGCTGTTCTTTGCTTGCTCAGCAGCAGCTGGCTGACTAGTAAGCAGGGTCACCAGCCTCCTGCATTCCAGTAGCCTTGCATGGACCTTTGGGAAAGACAAACCTGGTGCTTGGAGCTGGCAGGGCTGCCCTGCGAGGGAAGGGGGCAGTGGAGAAACAGCTGAGAGCCCTTTGCAGGAGCTGAGGACACCAAGGTATTACTGGGAGAGGCATGGGATACTTGGCAGGAGTATCTCATTGGGAGACAAGCTGCACTAGTCCTGCTGGCAGTGGAACTGCTTCCTTCTTTTGCTTTCACTACCTGCTGCTGCAATACAGCACTGCCTGCTACCTCTGAACTCCTGGAAGCTTCATTTGCATCTACAAACATAACCCTTTTTCGCACAGAGGTTAAAATGATAAGTTGAAATCAATGTGAACAGATGCACTTTCTCGTTGGCTCTTAAGTGTGATTTATTTAAGTGCAGAGCTAGTCCTTAACTGGTTTGTAAATCTGCCCTTCACAGTTGGCTCTAATACATCTCAGAGTGGTTCATTTAAATTGTGCTATGTCTAATCACATTACAGTTTTGTTAATTGTTTTGTAACTATCCAAATCCATTTGCTCTGTCTCCTTTCAATTGCTTCCAGGGGCTACTATTATCAGGATGATCGAGCCAGTTGCTGGCAGAAAAGGTGTCTGTTCACAAGAACTGGAAATATGTAATATTTTCAGTAAAACTGACTGCAAGAACAACCACGGGGCCAGCCTGAGAGCTCACCTGGAGCAGAGGATGTCTGAGGAGAGTAAGACACAGAGCAAAACCGCAGTGCTGCTTGGTCAGAACTATCTCTTGTAGCTCCAAATTTTCTGAGTTGGAATGGTCAGATACCATGTGCCTTTAATATTGCAGGTATTCACTTGGGTACTTAATTTTACATTTCCTTTTGTTGGCCCTTTTGTTATTCAGCTGCTTGGTACTGTGAGATCCTTGCCTGAATTCTCTTTGTCTCCCCTGGGCTTTACTATCCTGGGTAATGCAGCATCATTAAAAATTGTTGGAGCTTCTATATTCATGAAAAGTGAAGCAAAGCTCAAAGGAAAAGAAAATGAAGCTGTGAATGCCTGGAATATCTAGGGCAATTCACACCTGTCTGAGTAAATCATATAGTTGTGGGGATTTCTTTTTGTTTGACCTGTATTATTTGGACCAAATTGCTGGAAGAAGTAATCAAACATTTGTGTTTCTAGTGATAGTCTATATATCAGTCTCACTGGTTATACAAAAGTGTTGCAGCCCTGCAGAGGACATTTTGTCTGCTCAGCCCAAGGCCAAAGCACCTCAGGTGCAGCTCTAAATGCTATTTAGTTTTTAAGTAAGTTCTTAGAGAGCTCTGCATGCTTGTCCTTTTGCCTATTGATTAAATAGGAAAAATTCTGGTTTTTTTTTTTTTAAACAATGTACTTTTTTTTTTCAGTGGCTGGATGATTATAGATTTATGTGTGTGCAACAGCAGTCTAATATAGCTATTGGGAAAACAAAGGTATCCATAAGCTTGTTTTTATGTATTCCTTTATCTTTGTTTCTTGTTAATCGACAAGGAGAGCTGAATTGCTCTCCAGGGGTTGGCTTTGGGTAAAACATCCCATTAGCAAGGGCCCAGCTGAAGGCAGGCTGGCAGCTCCAGGAGTCCTCCCCATCGAGTCACACAAACAACTGTGCTGCCCAAACTGCATTCCCTTATTCCCAAGGACATGTCCTCTGTGCTCTGATTGATTTATGTCCCTGACACAGCTCTGTGTAGTATTTCTCTGGCTTTGAGAGCCATCTACAAAAAGTACATATTGATCATGGATCTTCCTGGGATGGGTGGGTAGGATAAACCATCAGCCCCTTCTATCATGTAGCAAAGCTTTTATGAATCAATGCCCTTATCTAAGAAACTTCATGCAAACATTAGAGTGTGGCACCTGGAGAACTGCTGCCAGCAAAAGTAACTGTGTTTGGGGAAAATCGTAAAACAATGAATTTCTTTCCAAAACGAGTAGAAATTAAAACGCTGGACTCTCTCAGCAGCTGCCCTCTTAAGTGCTGTAGTATCTACTGGAATGTGGCTGCTCCTGAGCCAGAGCCGCATTTGTGGGCACCATGGCATCTCCAGTCATTGCTCAGCAGTGAAGGAGCTGCAGAGCAGCAACTCTTAGCAGAGGGCTCTGCTCCCTGATCCACACCAGTGTGTTACAAATGCTGCAGGTCACTGCGTGGTGTGCTTTCTGGGTGGCCCCAGGGCCACAGTGCTCTGTTTGCACACTGAACCCACCAGGCAGAGTCCTTCAAGCAGCTGATGAGAACTCATCAGTTCTTCTCTAGTCCAATGCTGTGTTTCAAACAGACCCAACTGGGACACGTAGTCATGTACACAGCCACAGAAGCCTCCAGAAGAGGTTGTATCCCCTGATGCAGCTGTTCTCAGTGCTAATTCTCTTCCCTCTTTTTTTTAATTTCCTAGACCTACTTTAGAGTGGAAAGCCTGGGTAGCTTCATGGTAATTATTCAATTACAATTTGTGACTGTTTTATGTGTGTGATAGTAGAACTCAGTGCCTCTGATTGTTTATTGGAACAGGATATACAAGCTAGGCAGCAAAAGGGAAAGTTTGGCTCTGCAGGCAGTGCTGGTGGATGAACCTGGGTACATCTGCACCACAGGACTCCACTAAGCAAGGGAAGTGCCACAATTCACAGGAGTTGGGGCAAAGGTGCCAGCAGAACTTGGCTGGTGTAGGGACCCTTCCTACAGGCTTAGGTAATATTCACCAAGAGGATTAAAGCCTTTCAAAGATGGAATAGATTCTGCCTTCATAATATTTTTCTTTTCAGCCTCCACAAGAGTTGGCACAGCCTACTGTGCTACAAAGCACCCTTTTTTCTCCCCTTGCTCAGAACATCCTGAATTAATTCCTGGCAGAACTATCTAACTCTGTGTGTAGATAGGAACAAACTCCAGCAAAGCTGGGGCCTCCTCCGAGGCCACTCACCTGGATCTCTCCCCTCCAGGACTTTGTGAGTATGGAGACTTGCCCTGTACTCCTGTGGCAGATGGGTGGATATGACAGAGCAAGAGCACCAACGTCAGGACAGGCACACAGAGCTGGGCAATGCAGGTGTCTAGAACTGAGACAGAGAAATGATTTTGTAGACTCTAAAGGCAACTGAAAATGCCCAGTGAGAGGGCACAGCTCAGATCAGCAACTGTAAGATCAGATCTCGCAGCAGGAACATGCCCAGCGAGCTCTGCACTGGCATTTCAGGAGCTCCCCTCAGCAGAGGAGCCCTCTGGAAACAGCTGCCTGGTTTGGCAAGATGACCTGAAGGGCCATGTCTTTGAGGAGCATTGAAATCCCCACATTTCCCCATGAGTCACAGGATACTTTCTGTTAAACCTTAGGCCCTTGCCCCCATCTGCTGCCATCAGGAAATGTTCTTGTCAACTGAGTGTTCTCCAAACTCTGTCTGCCCTCCAGGTTTCTGAAAGCACAGGATCCGTTCAGGAACCTGCATAGGCTAGAGCCCAAAGCACTGCTTGGTGCTGGCAGAGGAACCTTTCCAGGAAATCAGTTTAATGTGAAAATGCATCTCAATGTGCCTTATTGACCCTCTGAAAGCACCTGCACCACCAGCATGATTGAGGTCACTGGGGACCTCCTGCTTTACTTGGCATAACCCAACTGCTTTTCGTGGGCACTTGCTGCCTGTGTACACTTTAAGGTCCAGGTTTTAAGGATCCCAAGTAAGGATAGAAAGCAATGTCAAGCATTTGTGGGGTTTGTGACTCAGCTGGAGAGGGAACTCCATATCCTTTTAGTAATTTGCTCAAATAAGATTTTTGAAAATCTGTTTTTTTTAAAGGGACAGAAAGAAAGAAAATCCAGAGGGCAGTGATGGTAGTAATCACTGAATTAGCTTCTGGATTTTCTCCCTCTGCCTTCAAAAAGCAAAAGTGTTATTGCCAAAGTTGATTCTGATTTCCTTGTAGAAAATGCCCACTGTCTCTTCCATGGACAGTGCTGAAATGTAATGCAAATGTGAGCAGTTAAAATACCTGAAGGCAACAAAACCAGATTGGTGCAGAAAGTCAGTGACGTTTTCCCCCCACCCTTCCTTACAGAGCACTGCTATTTTACAGCAATAGAAATCCTTTTGGAGTTTCCTAGCTGACTCAGAGCTACAGATCTTTACCACTGCAAGAAGAAGAAAAGCAAAGAGAGAAAAGAAAGGTAATTTCTAAAGTGAAATTAAATTAGCCACAAAATAAAACATTTCTAAAGACAATTTCATGTCCGTTCAGAGGAGCCTTTTGGATTTATGCCACCTTGAGGCAAAATATCAGTAAATACTTCAGGTCTTTTAATACTTTGTGTTGCTGTTGAGAAGATGTAAGAAAATGTAATTGGATCTTGTTATGCCTGAATTGATAATTAGACTTTATTTTGGAATGTATTCTTCTATTAAAAGAAGAAATAATAGACTTTGCATAATTATTAATCTATTGCAACATTCCTCAATTGTACAGATTACTTTTCAGAAACACGAGCATTATCTTGCAGAAAAGATGACATTTACTGGCTTATTTTTCTGCTGTATGCTGATGAGCATGCTAACAGGTAAGATTACTGCTGAATTTATCCTTTTTATGTTTTCAAGTAGCCAGAAATATTTTGTTATGAATGCAATAATCTTCTCTTTAGTACCAGGTATCACTTGTGTGTTAATCCCAACTGTTCTGGCTGTTAGTTATGAGTATTTGGTTTGTAGCACTGAGTGACTGCAGATGGGGATTCCTTATTCTACTGTTCAAGAAACAAAAGTCCTTTGGCTACACCAAAGTGGGTCCTACATGGGCATTAACCCTAACCCTTGTCATCTTCTGGCTACACGGGAAACCTTTTATTAACAGAACGTCTTTCTGTGCACGAGCTGGTACTGATGCATTTCCTCTTTATTGACAGATGCCCGATCCATCCGGGATGGAGATGGTAATTCCTATAGTATTTTTATTTGCTTTGTATCACTAATAATTAGGAGGGTAATTTGTAACTCCCAGACCTGATGCCCAGTAGTGACTTTTGCAGGAAGGCTTACTAACCTCAATGGGCTGTGGAAGTGCTTTCATCTAGTTCTGGTGGAGAAAGAAGAGTGGACTTATAGGAATGTCTTTAAAATTTATTAAAAGCTGAAATATTAGTGTCTAATAATAGAGCTAATATACTCAAAGTCTTAAAATGAAAAGGGACTATGGCCAAGTTACTAATTCTGTTGTATAAGATCATAACTGGAAAGCACCAGATTTGTAAATGTATAAGACATCTGAGGATTTCGTCTGTCCTGAACAGTAATACTGTATGTGCATCTGATTATTGGCAAGAGATACTGACCTCCACAACAAAAAGCTTAAAATTTACAAATTGCCACAAATCCAATTACAGAAATGTTGGACTAAATCCCTTAGCAATGCTACCCCGTGGTTCATGTCGCTTCGTGTGATTAGTCCATTGGATTAGTGTTTGCCTTTGATAAAATAAAAAACCCTCAACACCCTAATGATGTTTACACTGGCTTGCTGATGATTCTATCAGTTAACCTCTCTTTGCCTTTTCAGACAGAATTCTGTCTGAAAACAAAATTGCAAAAGGAGTATCTGCAGTTATCAGGTACTGCTATTGCTGGTGTACATCTCAGTTAACCAGCAGGACAGCCAGCAGCACGTCCAGTGCACTGATACAAATATTCCGAGAGTATTATAACAGATACGAACTGTAGAAATACAGAATAAGGTCTAATATGAACTTATAATTTAAATCTTTTCCCCATGCCCTGATCTCTTTCTTCACCGCTCTAAAATATTTTGAATGTATCACCTGTGTTTGTGCATGGCAAATACTTCTGCAGCAACCTTTGGAGACAGTCAGATGAGCCTGTGTCAATGGGAAAATAGAACCCCGTTTCAGGCAGTTTTCTGTTGCTCTCATTACCAGCAATTATGGTTTTCTTTCACACTGGGCCAAGCAGCAGCCTGCAAAATGAATCTAAGGTTAGCTGGTGTAAAAACAGTGAGTTCTCCTCTGCAGACAGCATTTTACTGGTTCATTTGTTTGATTATATGCCATCTGGGCCTGTGCACTGCAAACTGTACTCCATAAAATTAAGCTCTGACAACAGGATTGTTGAAGGCTCTTAATTCTTATTAAAGACCCTGGTCCCAAGCTGAGTGGAATGGCTCCCATTTAGCTAAATAGGCTTTCAATCAAAACAAAATACTGGATTTAGCTTTGCTGCACAGAAAGACATTTGTAACTATGTGGCCTCAGCTAGTGTTTACCTGTTATATATGTGTCTCTGTCCAGATTTGGGCCCAAGGGTGGTCAGCTTCTGCATTTTCAGAACTGATGTTGTTTTCCTGCTGAATTTGAAACAGTTTCAATGAGTATATCACATCTTCTGATATTCCTAGAGCAGGCACAAATACAACAGCTGTCTTCCAGGAGGCAAAGCCTTTCCTTTCCCTTCCCTTAGCCTGTTTCCTACAGCCCTCTGAGAAGAGGCACAACTGTAGTCCCAGGCAGTGCCAGGGAACTACAACCTCAGTCCTGGGGAGCTCTGTGGGCATAGGAGACAGCTGCAGGGGCAGAGTATACACTGCAGTGCCTTATGCCTTTTATTTTTATATTAGGCAAAGCAAATTGTGTGAAATGAGGAAAAAATGGCTTTCAATGGCAACCGCTCTTTGCCTTTAAATAACCAGCAACCTTCTAGAAATTAAATCAGCCAGATGAATTCTTGAACTGCCTGAGATGTAGACGGTGTGCCTTCATTCCTCCTCTCGATCTTGTCCCACTCTGTCACACCTGGTGCACTGGGAGCAGGGAATACTGGCTCCATTGTCTACAGAGTGAGGGATGGAGAGGAGTCAAAGGCTCTCCCTGCCTCTCCTGCCAGAGGAACCCATGAGCCCCACTGGGAATCCACAACTCCAAACTGTATTGGCTCCCAGGCCCAAGCTTTCAACAAAAATGCTTTGTATTGTAGTAATCTGTAACACTTTATTTTGGTTGTTCTTTTAAGATCTGTACCAGGAAGCTGTAGCCCTGCCATACTGGCCCTTCTCCTCCAACGATTTCTGGTCCTACGTGGAATATTTCCGGACCTTGGGAGCCTACAACAGGATCAATGAAATGGCCAGGGCTTTCTTTGCCCAGTTCCCTTTTGGGAGCCACCTTGGCTACCACGTGCCTGACCAGGAGCACTGAGTGCCTCGCTCAGCTTTGCCAGAGCCAGTGCCAAGGTGTTTGGGTGAATACCTGTCCAACAGCGAACACACACCTAGGCTGCCCTCAGCTGCTTTGTGATACTCGCTGCAGTCACACACAGCATTTCATGCTTTAAATTAACTTCCCTTTTACAATTTATGGGTGCCAAGGTGTTAGAGCGAATACCTGCCAGTGAATGCACCTGGGCTGCTGTCAGCCACTTTGTGATACCCCATACACAGAATTTTATGCTTTAAATTAGCCTCTTTTGTACAAGTTCTGTGTGCCCAAGTGGTTGGGTGAATACCTGGCTGCCAGTCAACACACCTGAGCTGCCCTCAGCCACTTTGTGAGGCTCACCGCAGTCACACACACTATTTCGTGCTTTAAATTAGTTTTGTTTTTACAATTTAGGGGTGCCATGTTTGAGCGAATACCTGCCACTGAAGGCCCCTGGCCCCCTTCAGCTGCTTTGCGATACCACAGTCACGCACAGAATTTCATGCTTTAAATTAGTCTCTTTTGTGCAACTTAGGGGTGCCAACAAATGCAGCTGGGTGGGCCTCAGCCACTAAGTGACAATCACTGCAGTCACATGCAGCATTTCATGCTTTAAATCACTCCTTTTTTTACGATTTATCCTTTCGCGTGAAAACAATAAAGTCCTCCATTCTGCTGCACAGTTTTGGGAGCCTTTTTTTTTTTTTTTTTTTTTTTTTTTTTTTTTTTTTTTTTTTTTTTTTTTTTTTTTTTTTTTTTTTTTTTTT